TCTTAGCCACCCCACTATACCACACTTCCCTTTCCCACCCACCCCCCAATCTCATAATCTCCTGCTTAGTCAGAGGTCCCTCCTCTAGCTGCCATTAAGAAGGCCCGTGAGGAACATTATAAAACTTACTGTTTGGCAACCTAATCAAAAAATGGGCAGAGGCCTAAATAGACATTTCTCCAAAGTAGACATACAGATGGCCAAGAAGCCCATGAAAAGCTGCTCAACATCACTAATTATTAGAGAAATGCAAATCAAAACTACAATGAGGTATCACCTCACACCGGTTAGAATGGGCATCATCAGAAAATCTACAAACAGGGTGTGGAGAAAAGGGAACCCTCTTGCACTGTTGGTGGGAATGTAAATTGATCCAGCCACTATGGAGAACAGTATGGAGGTTCCTTAAAAAACTAAAAATAGAACTACCATACCACCCAGCAATCCCACTACTGGGCATATACTCTGAGAAAACCATAATTCAAAAAGACACATGCACCCCAATGTTCATTGCAGCACTATTTACAATAGCCAGGTCATGGAAGCAAACTAAATGCCCATCAACAGACGAATGGATAAAGATGTAGTACATATATACAATGGAATATTACTCAGCCATAAAAAGAAACGAAACTGGGTCATTTGTTGAGACGTGGATGGATCTAGAGACTGTCATACAGAGTGAAGTAAGTCAGAAAGAGAAAAACAAGTATCGTATATTAACGCATATATGTGGAACCTAGAAAAATGGTACAGATGAACCTGTTTGCAGAGCAGAAATAAAGACACAGATGTAGAGAAACAAATGTATGGACACCAAGGGGGGAAGTGGCGGGGGAGGGGTGGTGGTGGGATGAATTGGGAGATTGGGATTGACATATATACACTAATATGTATAAAATAGATAACTAATAAGAACCTGCTGTATAAAAAATAATGTAAAATTCAAAAAAAAAAACTGTTTGCTTTATCTTTTCTCAAATGAGTCTGTGTTAACTTGAAAACAAGGTCTATTTCATTTATCTTTTTCCCTGTACCCAGCAGAATGTCTGGCACATGGCAGACCCTCAAAAAGTATTAAGTTCCTTCTCCCTTGCCTTTTTCCCCCTAAGTCAGAAACTATCTCTTCTTTCCTCCCCAAAATTCCATAGCACTTTATATCTCTCTTAGATATATTTCTGCCTCACATTAACATTTTGTATGTCATATTTTTCCCACCAGACTATAAGCTCTTTGACTGTAGGGGTCAGTTTTAAAGATCTTTATGCAAATACCTCTGCCTATAGTAACTGTTCAACAAATAACTGATAAATGAAACTGTAATTTAAAAAGCTGTTGTTTTGACTACGTTTCCCTATTACGCAGATTTCTTCCCACCCCTAGTAAACACTAGCCCCACTATTAGCAAACCATGGTTCCCAAGCCACAAGGGGCTTTTCTGATTAATTTATCAAACGTTTCCCGGTGCTAGGCAAGGCACTAGGGGAAATGCACGCTCGGATTCTTAGTAAAGGATTTCTGGTCTCTAAAAAAAATTCAATCTAGTAATGACTCCTGAATCAAAATAGTATGAAACACTAGACTGTTCGAGTATGTGAGTCACGTGTCTCTGCAGAGCGATGACGATTTTCAACGTGGTTTCAGGGTCCAGTAACAGACTACACTCCCAGCCGTTGACTAATCCCCTGGGATTCGTTAGAAGCTGCCTTGCCCAGCCATACCCTGGTTGAAGGTGCGGAGGAAAATAGGGAAAGTGACCACCCATCTTTCCTCAGACTTGCGCATCCTCCCAGACCCTGCTTCTCAGAGCTTTTCTATCCCCCTGGCTCACGCAACACCCCGAGGGGGCGTGGCTTTCACCTACCAATCCGCCTACTCTCTCCCCGGGGGCTCGGCTAGCTTCTCCAAGGACCCGCCCCTCTCTGGGTGGCCACGCAAATGTGGAACTGGAGTAAAGGTCTGCACCGGCCACAGGCTTCCCCCGTTCTCACATCGACTCCGGACCCAGCCGGGTTGCCCTCCTTCGCGTTCCCTGCTCCCCACCTGCTCTGCTGACACCGTCCCCTTCCCCGCGCCGCTCCCGCTGTTCTTGCCAGTGCGACCGCTGTTCTCCGCCATCTTCACCGCCTGCTGGGCTTCCGGCCTGCGTAGCTCAGCCCACCCTCCCTGCGTCACGTCCGGTCTCGGAGTTACCGCCCTCTCGCCCCCGGCGACCCCACCTCGAGGCCGCTCTTCGGTTCGGATCCTGCGAATCGTTTTGGTCGTATCTTCATGTAGGACCTACTACCTATCCCAACCGCTGCGGTGACTCTCACCTGCCATGCTTTAACTTGTGCAACAGAGACGCTGCCCCTGGGAGAGGCGGGGAAGAACGGATTAACTGGATAGTGGGGCGCGGGTTGGGCCCTGGGTGATGAGGAAGGAGGGAGGGTGAACTTCCCCTCAGAGACTCTGGTGGGGGAAATATGCTTTGCGTCAATAAAACTGTGCCGGTGCACAGTCAAGAACAGAGGCTGGGAAAACCAAAGAAGTATCTTGGAGATGACTTGTAAACTGCAGAAACATTTGACTGAGGAGAGAGGCTTCAATTTAATGTGAGATCAAAGCCCTTTCCTCCATCTTCCCACTTTATGAGCTCTTCCGGTAGCCCATAATTACTTATGGTACAGAGTGTTTTGAAGACTTGGGGGGTTTTACAGCCGGGGCCCCGATTCAGCTTCACAGTATGAAGAGAGAAGTCAGAGGATCTTAGAAATTTACTGCTTGAGAGTGGGGTTGGTGTCCTGATTTCTCACCTTCTTCAGGTTGGGCTTCATCATCAGGCCTCCTCACCAGCTCCTGTCCCTTCTTTTGTGTCCTGGACTCCGGATACCTCGACTCTCAGTACTTTGTGCTCAGCCCAGGTAACATGTTTTGTTGTGTTCTCAGTGCCTGGCACGTAGTAGATGCTCAATAAATGTTTGTTAAATGTATGGATGGTGGGAAACACTGGGGTGCCAACCATCACAGAACATTTGATCAGTGGGTCATTGTACCATGGGTCACTGTGCCCTGTAAGAGCAGATTCAAAGGAAAGCCCAGCCTTCCTGCCTCCCCATTTTAGCCTCTTATCATTAAACTTGGGTTTCCCCATGCTAGTCAGTCTGAGTCCTGCCTGTGCCATTTACAGACTCAGAGCCATGGCTGTCTCCTCTTCCTCCTGGGAACTACCCCTGGTGGCTGTGTGCCAGGTAACATCGACACCAGACAAGGAGCAGAACTTTATAACATGTGCTGAGCTGATTCGGGAGGCTGCCAGACTGGGCGCTTGCCTGGCTTTCCTGCCTGAGGCATTTGACTTCATTGCACGGAACCCTGAAGAGACGCTTCACCTGTCTGAGCCACTGGGTGGGAACCTTTTGGGAGAATATACCCAGCTTGCCAGGTATCAGGGAAAGGGGGAGGGAGAAGTAGTTTCTTTCTGGGTAATGTCCCAGGATTGCCAGATATGAGGGTAGAGCCTTGAGGAGAGTTGTCAGTGTCCCCTCCCCCTCAGGGAATGTGGACTCTGGCTGTCCTTGGGTGGTTTCCATGAGCGTGGCCAAGACTGGGAGCAGACTCAGAAAATCTACAATTGTCATGTGATTCTGAACAACAAGGGTGAGACTCTTCAGCCTGCCTCTTCTCAGGCTCTTCTACCTAAGATTCTCCAGAAATCTGTGTTGTTTCTCAACTGTTTCCTTGGCCAAGGGTTTTAGGGGCGTTTGTATTTCTGTTCCTAGCCTATAAGCTACCTCCTCTTTGGGAGAGGAACTAAGCTGGGCTTCTAGAGCACCAGCACTGAGTACTCTTTCTCCCTCTTACTCAAGGGTCAGTAGTGGCCACGTATAGGAAGACGCATCTGTGTGACGTAGAGATTCCAGGGCAGGGGCCTATGCATGAAAGCAACTCTACCATACCTGGGCCCAGTCTTGAGTCTCCTATCAGCACACCAGCAGGCAAGGTGGGAGTTGTGAAAGGATGAGGGTGGGAGAGGAACGAGAGGGAGGGGAATAGGAATATTTTGAAGTGGTAGTAGAGGATTGAAAGCCCTAAGGAGTGCAGTAGCGGGGTTATGACCAGATGCTGTGACAAACAGGGCGGGAGACTAAATAGGCTGTTTTCATTCCAGATTGGTCTAGCTATCTGCTATGACATGCGGTTCCCTGAACTCTCTCTGGCATTGGTTCAGGCTGGAGCAGAAATACTTACCTACCCTTCAGCGTTTGGATCTGTTACAGGCCCAGCCCATTGGGAGGTAAGAGGACACCTCTTTAGAACATAAGGGCCTTCTCTTACCTCATTCTCCTCCCTTGGCTCTACCAGTTAAAAGATTTTCTTCTCCTTCCCACCTAGTGGGAAAATTCATTTCCCCAGATTGTTGCCTCTCAGAATAGTTAACATAGTAAATCATTCATAGGCAATTATCAGAATGGTCCCAGTGGGTAGATTGGCCTGTAATGTCCATGGCCTACCCCTTCCCTACTAGCTGCTACCTGTATCTAAGTGAACGCCCGTCTCCTCCATCCCCAGGTGTTGCTGCGGGCCCGCGCCATTGAAAGCCAGTGCTACGTAGTGGCAGCAGCACAGTGTGGACGCCACCACGAGAAGAGAGCAAGTTACGGCCATAGCATGGTGGTAGATCCCTGGGGAACAGTGGTGGCCCGCTGCTCTGAAGGACCAGGCCTCTGCCTTGCCCGAATTGACCTCAATTATCTGCGACGGTTGCGCCAACACCTGCCTGTGTTCCAGCATCGTAGGCCTGAACTCTATGGCCATCTGGGTCACCCACTGTCTTAAGACTTTTGACTTCTGTCCGTTGAGACCCCCATTGTGAGCTGGTGTTGCTGTGACTTGTAGGCAGGACCCGGGTGCAGCTCCCCTCACTTGGAGAACCTTGTCTCTCTTGCTGGAACACAGGCTCAGCTTCTTGGGAAAGAAGAAACTTTCACCTGAGCTCAGATTTCAGTTTCAGAAAGGTGGAATTTTATATAGTCACTGTTTATTTCATGAAAACTGAAGTTATGCTGAGGGCTGAGCAGCACTGGCAATGAAAAAAATATAATCATCATAAAGTCTGTGTCTGGATATCTCTTTTGGGAGCTGAAAGGGGAGGTGGTATTGTACCAGCTGGACTAGACTCCAGTTCTAGGCCTCCTGACTCATTCAACATGCCTCCCTATCTAAATAAAAGTGCGACACTCAGTGCATGTCCCAACCCCATGCTCCCAAGCTTGGGGTGGGAGTGGGGATAGAGGATGGGGAAAGAAAAAGAAGAAAGGAATTGATATTGAATCATTTCACTTTCACCTATGATGCCCTTTGCCCAAGCCAGAAGAAAGCAAAGGGGAAAAGGGCTGCAGGGTACATTATTTATTTTCACTTGAACATGGAAAGGAAGTGTCACACTCCCCCTTCCCCTTTTTAGGGGGAGTGTATTTTAATCAGCAACCTCTTCTCCATCCACCCTGTGTATGTGTGTACACACACAACACAGTTGGGAGGGCGACTAGGCTGACCTAGTCCGCTTACCTATTACTCCTTTGAAGAGGGTTTGACAAAGAGGGAAAAGGAAGGAGCCACACCAGGCCGAGGTTTCAAGCCATGGAATGGAGGAAACGAGGCAGAGAGGAGCAGCACCAAGGGCCAGAAGAGAGTGGAAAGGGCCACAGCTTCTTTGTTTTTTAAAAATTCTATAATTTGGGAGAGGGTGGTGATTAATTTCCAAAATACACTTCAGAGTCCCACCTTCCACACAGCTCCCTACTGACAGCCCTTTGGTTTCTCAGACAAAATTTAAGAGCCCTCATAAAGCCAGAAGTACTGATAACCCCTCAATGCACCCAAAAGCAGTGATCACTTCAATCCCTTACAAAGACTATGTTCTATAGACTTTGCTTCTCCCTATACATTTGTCTTATGGCTCAATGGCAAGGTGGCTGTAGAGACACACATGAGGGGGGTAGGTGGAAAAGGAAACAAAGGGAAGCCCAGGCACATGGGTGCAGGGAGGGGTGGGGAACACCACTTCCATTTTTCATTTGTCTTTTCCTTTAAAAAAAAAAAAAAAAAAAGGCAGGGGTGTGATTGGTTGGAAGGGTAGAGGACAAACCCCAGAACGGTATGTAAGCTCCAGAGGTGGGTGGTGAGAAGTCCCCCGAGAAGTGAGAAGGGAAAAAAGGTCAGGGCAATGCTTGCAGCATCAAGTTCCTCAGGAGTTTCTGTCGGCCCAGCTCATAGTCCTCCTCGTCCACATTCACCAGCAGCTTGATGGCCTCGTGGCCCACAGCCTGCTTGAGGGAGTCTGTGATGAAGACACCTTTAAGTGCCTCTAGTAATGAGCCATTGATATAGTCGCGCCAGAATGCATCGAGGTAGGTGAGCTCAGAGAACTTGATGTCACAGATGATGGAGCCCAGGTCCCGGGACTTGAGGATGGTGTTGGCCTGGTTAAAGCGCTCAAACTGGCGCTCAAGTGGGTCCTGCTTGTTAGAGAAGACGTTGCCCTGCAGAGCAGTCTCATGCTGGCAGTATTCAGCCCGAACCCGCAGTCTGATGTCTGTGGGGAAAAGAAGATATGCAGAAGAGGTTGCAGTTTACAGCCAAGTCTGAAAGGTTGAATAGAACAGCAGAGTAGCAAAGTTGGGAACATCACCTGACAGCTTCTCTACCTCTTCCCAGGACTAGTTCTTTTCTGTGTACCTCTGAAATCCTTGCCTGAACTCAAGAGGTTCCCTTAAATGGGCCATGCCCAGGTCAGATTACTTCCATCACTCACAAGTAGCACCTTGATTCTAGGAGATATTTTCCTAATTAACAGACACAGAATTTCATTTTAATACTCTATCATGACTTGGGTCATCCTACAATAAGGATGTCATAACGGCATCCCTTTCATCTAGTATTACCTAGAAAGAGTTGAAATGTACTCTGCCACAAAGGTAGAGGAGTTCTCCTCCCAGAGACTATACCATTCAATCTCACTTTGCAACAGCAATCAAACTGAGCCTTACACTGAATAGAATAACTGCCCAGTATTCCAGCAGTTCTTTGTATTTCCCTTCAAGTCTACTCTACCTCTAGAACCCTTGAACTTCCTCACCGCATGTCTGCTTTTCCTTGGGATCTGGTGTCACTGACTTCCGGCGTTTTCGCTGGCTCCCAAGTGTGGCTCTCCCTCGAGCTGGCCGCTTGCTACACATCTGAGGGCCCGAAGTGGGGCAGCACACCACAGGATAGTGGGGAGGCACTGACCAGAGGGTAAAAAGGGAGACATAGTAGGGTAAAAGCAGAAATTCAAACAGCTCACTTGGAATGAGGAAGGATCATTTAGACTTAGCACTAAAAGCAGTATCAATAATGTGACCTGAAAGGTGGACACAATGTGGGAACAATTACAGGACCCAGATGAAGCATTAACACCTCATCTGATTTTTTGGGGGCCAGATATGGGCAGGGAGGGGGACACTGTCCTTTCATTTAGGCTGGCAAAACTGGGAAAAGATGGGTCCAGTGTCCTCTTTCTTGATTATGGAAATTAGGGGGAGTTAATATTGTCTCACCTGTTTTAGGGGGGTGGGGAGGCCTCGGTTCTGGATCGCTGAGGGCTCTGGGTGTCACATAGCGAATTGATGTCTCTTCCAGATATTTGTCTACAAGATCAGGGCACACTGTAGGGGGAGAGGGGTTCACTCAGGAAAAGATACACCCTTCCCTTCTCCTAGTCCAACCCTCCAATGGGCCTCATAACTTATTCTCCTCAGTACTCCCCAGCGTCAATGCCTCCTTCTGCTTGGACTCCCATGCTGCTCACACAGGGCCGCCCATAGCTCTTCCCTGATGCCAGTGTCCCCAGCCCCCAATGCACCCTCACCAGCCCGTCTCCTCTTGAGGGTGACGTAGGGCAGCAGGTCATGGCGAGTGATGATGCGCAGCAGCTGCAGCACCTGGCGAAAGTTACTCTCATCACAGCGGCCCTGGCGCTCCAGCGCCAATAAGAAGTCACGTCCATTTCGGATGAGGCCACGCTCGTGGTCATCAATGACATCAACAAAGAGGAAGGAAAGAACTCGTACGTCTCTGTGTGTCAGGTGGGTGCCCACGATGTCAAACATGCGATGCAGGCTATACAGCCCATGCTCTTGCTCACCATGCTCTTCGGGCCACACCTGGCTTGCCCTCCGCTTTAGGCCCGCCATGCTGGGGGCTCAGGTGCACAACGCTTTCCAGAATCCCTGCTCAGCAGCTGCAATCCCCACTATACTATAAGGAAAAGGAAAGAACCTGTGAACCACTCAATGTCAGGAATTAGTCATCCATTCCTGTATTCCCAGAGCCCAACACAAAGCCTGGCACAGTGTAACGCTTAATAAGCATTTATTAACTTTTACAAAGTATTTATTTATTTTTTTGACTGCACCACGCGGCATGTGGGATCTTAGTTCCCCGACCCTTGCATTGGAAGCACGGAGTCTTAACTGCTGGACTGCCAGGCAAGTCCCTACAAAGTACTTATTAAAAAATACAGCCTAGGGCTTCCCTGGTGGCGCAGTGGCTGGGAGTCCGCCTGCCGATGCAGGGGACGCGGGTTCGTGCCCGCGGAGCGGCTGGGCCCATGAGCCATGGCCGCTGAGCCTGTGCGTCCGGAGCCTGTGCTCCACAACGGGAGAGGCCGCAGCGGTGAGAGGCCCGCGTACAGCAAAAAAAAAAAAAAAAAAAAAGAATACAGCCTAGAGCTCTGTATATCCAACAGATGCTGCCCTAAGTCCATATCCTACTGGAGATAGATAGTAACTTCTGCTAAGTAAGACTTGTTAACTGCAATTTTAGCGCTACATATTCAGCAGAATTTTCTATTAAATATTACCCCAATTGTTCCTCTGGCCTCCAAAATACTGCTTTTGGTCCCTTGTGCTCTCCCTGCCAGCACCCCCAATCAATTCATCCCTTAAATGTAGGTGAAATGAGGAGAAGTAGAGAATTCACTCTAAATTCTAATATAGAAGCTGCATCAGGTGAACTTAGGGGCCGACAACAGGGAAACTGAAAGCCTTTAGGGTTAGTACTAGTTTTTTTTGTTTGTTTGTTTTTGTTTTTAATTTTATTTATTTAAGGCTGTGTTGGGTCTTCATTTCTGTGCGAGGGCTTTCTCTAGTTGCGGCAAGCGGGGGCCACTCTTCATCACGGTGCGCAGGCTTCTCACTATCGCGGCCTCTCCCGTTGCAGAACACAGGCTCCAGACGCACAGGCTCAGTAATTGTGGCTCACGGGCCTAGCTGCTCCGCGGCATGTAGGATCTTCCCAGACCAGGGCTTGAACCTGTGTCCCCTGCACTGGCAGGCAGACTTTCAACCACTGCGCTACCAGGGAAGCCCTAGAACTAGTTTTAATTCTGCCTATTTCAGGACTTCCCTGGTGGCACAGTGGTTAAGAATCCGCCTGCCAATGCAAGGGACACGGGTTCGATCCCTGGTCCAGGAAGATCCCACATGCCATGGAGCAACTAAGCCTGTGAGCTCCAACTACTGAAGCCCACACGTCTAGAGCCCGTGCTCCATAACAAGAGAAGCCACCAAAATGAACTCTGCGCACCACAACAGTAGCCCCTGCTCGCCGCAACTAGAGAAAAAGACCATGTGCAGCAACGAAGACCCAGCGCAGCCATAAATAACTAAAGAGAAAAAAGAAAAATGGGACTTAAAAAAAAAAAATTCTGCCTATGTCATTAACAAACTGTGTAGTGTGACCTTAAGTCACTTAACTTCAAAGTCTCACTGTCCCCATCTACAAAACAGGGATGAAAGAAACTACTCCTCGAGTTAAGAATCCAATGAGAAGATGCATGTGAAATCACTGTAAAACTTACCTAAATGGTTAAGAGATTTCAAAGAGATAAGCATCCTTGGCCTCTGCAGCCAGACTCATCCCTCCACAAACCTAACCTCATTTTTCCAACAATCAAACCAAGTCCAGGAGAATAAATGCTAAGAAAGTTAATTAAATATCCACCAAAACTCATGGATTTAAAACAATAAACATCACTAAGCTCCTAGGTTGAGCATTGTTATAAGTCTCCTATGCCACCTGTACTCTCCTGATGTTCACACACCGTTTGGATATGTCACCTTCTAACCTTTCCTCATAGTTGTCATTTACCAATCCCCTGTCAATGACCAATCACAGTCCTACATTTATTATATATTTTGGCATTTAATTCACAAATTTCCTCCATCATCCTGGGTAATATCAGTGACCCAGCAAATAACCAATCCTCAAGTCCAACAACTTTCACCTCCTCTCTAGCCACTACTATTTACTGCCCTGGCAGACAGTACCACCCAATACTGCTCCACCATCTGACCACAACCTCCAATCACCCAATCAATTATAAATTCCTGTTGATGCTACTTTCTACTTCTTAAATCTGCCTCACCCTTCCACCTCTACCATGCTGGTTCAGGCCCCAGCAATCTCTCACCTGGATTACTGCAACAGCCTCTCTAAGGCTGTTGCAGCCACCAACCCTAACCTGCCTAAATCAATCCCCCAAGTCCAGCTGAATTATGTAAAACGCACAACTGACCACATCACTTTTCGGCTTAAGACCTCGCTACAGTCCCCTCCTTACCAATAAGAACACTCTAAACTCCTTACCCAACACACCAAACCTTCCAAGATCAGGACTTGCCTACTTTGCCAACCTCGTAACTCACTTTTTATTCTCTAACATTATCCGTTTGTTTATAGTTCATATACATCATACAATTCATTTCTCTGTAACTTTCTTCAGACTATTCTCCTTGCCTGAATGCCCCTCTCCCTTCTCTTCCACACCCCCCATTACCACCCTTTTTCAGATGGTTAACTCCTACTCATCCTTTAAGAATCAGCTCAGATGCCATCTTCAAATTCATTCTCTACACCCCCATGCTGGTATAAGTAGTCCTTTTCTGTGCTCCTATGGAACACTGTACATATTTCCCTTAAACCGTTTATCGAAGTGTACTAAAATTATTTGTGTATTTATTATCCTATTAGATCTTAAGCGACTCATGTAGAGGGCCTAGGTCATATTCATCTTTATGTGTCTAGTGCCTAGCAATAGATGGAGGCTGGCATATAGTAGGAGTAACCTGTTGTTGAACTGAAATGAATCTCCAAGAGATCACCACAAGCGACACCAATTAAGAAAAAAACTCACAAAAATCCAAGAGTGAGAGGACCCAATTAAAAGTACACGCAACTCAGGTATCATGCATATACTCTAACTGGCTATAGCCTCCCCCACACTGCAAAACCACCCATACCATAGCACCCTACTCAACAGCGAGACAGGCCGTTCTGTCCATTTTATACTCCAAGAAACTGAGGCTAGGTTAGAAAGAGAATAAAATTATAAACTACTTCAGAAAAGTCAAGCTGTTGGGGACTCAGAAAAATTGAAGAGCAAGTAGGACCTGGTTCTCTCTTTTAATCCTGAAACGGAAGCACAGAGAGACTCATACCCTTAAGAAAAGGGGAGGGCTTCCCTGGTGGCACAGTGGTTAAGAATCTGCCTGCCAATGCAGGAGACACGGGTTCGAGCCCTGGTCCGGGAAGATCCCACATGCTGCGGAGCAACTAAGCCCGTGCGCCTCAACTACTGAGCCTGCGCTCTAGAGCCCGCGAGCCACAACTACTGAGCCCACATGCCTAGAGCCCATGCTCCCCAACAAGAGAAGCCGCTGCAGTGAGAAGCCCGCGCACTGCCACAACGAGCAGCCCCCGCCCGACGCAACTAAAGAAAGCCTGTGCGCAGCAATGAAGACCCAACACAGCCAAAAATAATAAATAAACAAATAAGAAAAGAAAAAGGGAGGGCCACCCTGTAATCACCTAGCCCCATACCATGGGTTCAGATAGGTGGACAGGAAATATAGCCCATATCTAGTTATGAGAGCCCAGATGTCCCACCCAAAGCATGGGAAACAACAGGGAAAATAGCGATTCAACTATTGACTGGTTTTCCTCGTCTCTTCCTCTCTTGTTTCACCTGCTGCAGTCACTGGCTACAAATAGAGGGGACTGAAGGAAAACAACTTCTTGCTCATAGCAGGTAACATGAGAAAACTGAGTCTCCTTAGAGCCCCTACAACTTCTCCTTGTTCCCTATCCCACCTGTTCCCCTTGGCCAGCTGTTCATTATGTGGATCCCATAAAAAACAGATGGGCAGGTTTCACATTCAACCAATCAGAAGAGCAGGCTGCTTCAGAGCTCCCTAATTCAAAGTGTCCTGACTATAAACCCCAGGAAATTAGGAAATATTGTCCCCACATACCTGGTCACTGGAAAATGAAGCAGAATACAGGAAAGCACTGTGGTCCTAATTATGTATCAATGGATGCAATTCTACAATAGGTCTCAATCCTGAGGGTTAACTCCCTAGATTTGAGGAAAAAACAGCCACCTTTAAGTCGTAGATCCTAGGCTGGATCAAAGTGACAGGAATTATCAGAGCTTCTAGGTCAGTGGTTCTCAACCAGGAGCGATTTTGCCCTCCAGGGGAATTCAGCAATGTCTGGAGTCATTTTAGATTGTCATGACTGGAAGGGTGGTAAGGGAGGGTGCTACTGGCGTGCAGTGAGTAAATGCGATGGATGATGCTAAACATCCTATAATGCACAGGACGGCCTCTTACAACAAAGAATTATCTGGTCCAAAATGTCAATAATGCTAAAGATGAGAAATCCTATTCTAGATGGAGGGTCAAAAGGAGAGACAGCATGTCGCTTCCATCCTATATCTGGAAAAGGAAGTAATTTGGTCCCTCCAACCCAAACCCATCAAACAATATTCCAGAAGAAAAGCCAGTCAGACAAAGACTCATTTAACTTAACTAAGGAGTTCCATCCCACTCCAACCTTGGCTTCTCTATCACCTGCTGTTGCCATTTAGGTGAACAGCAGGTGACAGGACTACACTCCCTTCCGCCCCATCCCAGGAGGTCTAATTTGACCTAGTTCAATCTAAATTTCTGTACAGATCAGAGAAATGCCATCCTCTGCAAGACAGACAGAAAGGATCCTGCACTTAAACCTTGCAGCCATCTTTAAAGTCCCAAAACTAGACCAAAAGCAGACCCTTCCTTGTTAGGCTGCTGATCAGACTTATACTGCTTATGCAATGAAGCAAAAAGAGGCAGAAGTTTCCCAAGGCCATGCTTGTCCTTGGGAGAAATGTCAGGAGGCTGGCATGCAGACTAATAGGCAGCCCTCCCCACTTAATTATCATCTAGGATGGTGAGTTCACTCACTCAGCAATCCAGATGGGGGTTCCAAGAATCTATCTAACTTCAGCACTAAAAGAACGTGGCCAACTTCCCCTTAAACCAAAATATACTCAGCTTTCTGTGGCAGTGAATCGAAGGAACTCAGCTTAAATTATACAGAGATCCTAGATGAAAAGTATCAGGGCAGTGAGGAGAATATACCCCCTCTAAAACTGAAGATTAGAAAGAACTTCAGAATCTTGGTGCCTGAAATATTGCCAGATACCAAGAGACAAACACTCCAGTAAACAACAGTCCTGATCCTGCTGGCTGATTTGGGTCTATTTGAGAGCCTAACGTATGGATCACCCTTAATAGGTTCCCAAGACTCATTCTTTATTCTGATGAATTGCTGCATTTCCTGGAGCTGCAGGGTTTTTTGTTGTTCGCTTTCTTTTGGGAGGTCCAAGCCAGCCAAGGGCCAACAAACAATCTATATGTATCTACAGGACTTCCTCTTGACTAATCATTATCTATTAGATTTCTACTTCCATGCAAAGTCTAGTCTCATCCTAACCAGGGATGAGATCTGTATTTTTTGAGGTACTTGATTCTCTCAGAAGCCCTTAGAAGTCACGTGGAAGAAATAAAAAGAGTGATGTCTCGAAATGAAAACAACAGTCTAGTTTCATCCCAAAAGAACTAGAGGTATTTGACTCTCTCAGAAGCCCTGTGAGAGGGAAAGTCATGTGGAAAATCTAAAAAAGAGTGATGTCTTGAAACTTGAAATGTAAAGGACATGGAAAACCTTAAAGATGACTAAGACGACTACATAAAGAGCTTTCTTGCTGGTAGGACCAAGAAAATGTAACCAAATATCTGTAAGTCAGAATTACAAACTGTGTTTTCAAAATGAAGATTCCAGAACAACTAGGATAAAGAGTAAGCTAGAGGAAAAGCCTTCCCAGGGCAGGTGCCTCAGCAACCCTCCAAGGCCAACATTTAGTAGACACTGTACTAGAGTACAAAGTTCCATATGTTTAAAAATGTTTCTCTCAGAGCTGACCACGAAGGCTAGATAATAACAAAACAAGGCTGGAGTCTTGCCCTAAGACACCTAATTTCTGTTCTTCTTTCCCTCCTACCAATCTCCAGTGACCCAAAGGGACAACGACTGCAACAGATCTTACCCACTGAAAACCCATTTTCCCTGTCAGCTACCCCATTACTGAGCTCAACTCCCAATATGCCATTTCCATTTCATGCCATTTCCATTCCCTTCCATTGTTTGAAAACAATAAAAAGTTCCAGACTTACCTCTGCAAGAAACTTAATTTCCCAGGTCTCTTCCTAGCACAAGGTTCAAAGCCAGCAGCAAAGCAAAAACAAATAAGAGGGGGAAGCGTCAATTTTCAAGCTTTATTTTGAAACCTCAAAGAGGTGGTCAATCTCAGCTGCAAAAATATACAGACAAGCCGAAAGCCATTTCAATTGAAATGATCCACTCCGAGCTAAATGAGAGAACTCACTCCCATCAAAGACCCCAGGCTTCCCTAACCTTCTACTACCCAATTCACAACACAAAACCAACTCCAAGAATTTCCAGTCTCAGTGGCTTAGGGCAAGAAAGGTCCCAAATTCAACAACTTGTGGGAAAACCAATTATCCTCTGACACGTCACCTGACTCCTCAATTCCTTATGAGGCCCACCTAATTTGTTACAGTATTAACATTGACTTTCATCTTGAGATGAACTAGGAGGAAAGTGGTTAGAGCCAAAGAAGGCACTTTCTTTCCATTACTTCGCTTATGAGACCAGAACTATCCTCCAAATTCTCACACACTGTGAGAACAAAATATCCACTGAGGCAGCATCCAGTCAAACATCTACATTTCACCAGGGAACATTTTTTATGTATGAATACTGACCCCCGCTCCTAGCACTTAAACAGCAAAAGAAGGGTCTGGAAACGAAAGCACTCATTTAATTAGCATGGCTGCCTAGACACCATCCTGTGTTTTCTGTTCCCTGCAAACAGCGTTCCAACATAGCATGGCTGTTTCCCCATTCTGGCATTGCTAATTGTTTAAAACTAGAAAAGTCCTTTACTCCTTCCACACTCCAGCGATACCAGGCTCCCCATTTTCTCTTCTTTTTATAACCAGGAAAAACAAGGGAGCAGTAAGCTAGGCAGCTTTTGGAAATCCAGTTGAACCCTCATCCAACCCCAATTCTCCAAATCCACATGACCATTCCCTTCTGCCCTTCCCACCCTAGTAAAAGCTAAAGGCCTGGCAATTAGAATTGGCTGTAACTGATGCTGCTTAACTCTGCTCTCTCTTCCTTTCTACAGGGGAAAGGGAAACCCCTGAACCTCTATCACTCGTGCAGCTACACTGTCCTATCTCACATCCCATTCCCCTTCCTCCCAAACTTTCTTCCTAGTCTCTCACTTTCTCCATTACCTCGTCACACCGACACGCTCTCCATTCCCCAAACCTCCGTCCTCTCCTTTTCCACCCAAATTCTCCCCTAGGCCCTTCCCCCTCCCACCTCCAATTTAACACTTTCAGAACCTCCCCCCAAACGTCTCAAATCCAATCTTCACCTTTTCCCACCTCTCCACAACACCCCTTACAAGAGTCCAGTCCTTCTTCCAACCACATGCCACAAGCCCCCTTCCCCTTCACACCCTCGGCCCCTCCTTCCCGTTCCTACCCCCTCAGCCCGGCGGGACCGCAGCCCCACTCCCCACCTCGGCCTCTCTAATACCCCTAGCCTGGCCCAGCCTCGGCCCTTGTTTACGCCCCTCCCCTGCCCCACTCCTCCACCTCGACCCTGCCCTCTCCCACAGTTGCCACCTCCCCCGCACGCCCCCTCGGCCGCTCCCCTCCCCCACCTTGCAGCGTCCCGTCACCTCCCTCTCTTCAGGTTCTCAGGCTAGACGTCGCCACCGCCTCCCCCTCCACTTTCCTTCCCCAAGCCCTTTGCGGCCCCGCCCGGCCCCGCCCCGTCCCGCTCGACACCCCCTCCCCACTCCGGCCGCCCCGCCGCCTCACTCTCGGCTCAGGCTCGGCGCCGCCATGTTGGATCCATCCGCGCCGCTCTCCCGGGCCTGTCTCACGGCGCCGCATCCGGGCTCCAGCCGCCGCCGCCGCCGCCGCGGGCGTGGGGGAGGGGAGAGGCGGGCGGGGGTGGCTGCATCCTGAACAGCGCCTCCCGGAACCTGGCCGGTTAGTGGCGGCTTCGAGACCATAGTGAGGCATGAGCCGGAGTAGCCATGCTAGTTGAGGGCAGCCTGGCAGCGGCATTAAACGGGAAGTGGATAGCGTCATTTCGGTAGCGGAGAATAGAGATTGGCAGCCATCTTGCTTTGGGGCAAGCTGGCAACGCAAGTTTTTCTTCAGGACGGCTTCAGGGCCGTAGTAAGGCATGAGAGAGGGTTGCGTTCTTGAGTGTGGAAACGTTGGTGGGGTCGGAGCTGTCTGGTGTCGACTTCAGGATCCATTGAAAGACTGCGACTGGCAGCCATGACGCATAAGGGCGGAATATTACGGGGGTCGGATTGCCCCGCGAACTTGGGGGAAGGTTCATGATCTGGGTTTGACCTTTGCTCTGAGCTTCCTGGTAACCCGGACGTTCCGTAAACTTGGGTCCGGAACAGAAAGTGCTTCTCAGATGCCCTCTCGGATTTCATTTTTTGAGCATTTGGTTTTTGAGCACCCACTTCCTGAAGGAAGTGTCGCCTGAGCTGAATACTGGACTGTTGGGAATTGAGGGTGGGGGGCTAGGTACCTTCTGGAGCTGCCAGCAGCCTGGTTTGGTTAAAAGAGAAGTAATAAATGAGTCCCGGAGGTTGGGAGGGGCCTGTTTACGCAAGGCCTTGTAAATTAGTTTATTTTATCTTAAGGGTAATGAATAGGTTTTGAAGAGTCTTAGCAGAGGTGTGAACAAATATATTTGCGTTTTAGAAAGATCACTGGTTGCAGTGAGGAGAATGAATTGGAGGGCGTGAAGTTAGAGGCAAGAACAATTGGGAAGCTCTTACCCTGGTAAGAGACTACAGCGGCCTGTCCTCTAGAAGTGGGGAGTGCAGATGGGGAAAAATTGATCGGAAACGGGTATGAGGCTGAGGGAGGAATCCAAGGTATTTCCCAGTGTTCTGGCTTGGGCACCTGGGGAATAATGCCATTTTCATTGTTGTTTGGGGTGGGGGAAGAGTGAGCTTTAGGTGCCTGTGGGATATCCATTAGACAGTAGAATATTAGATAAGGTGGGTTGGGAGCCAAAAGGAAAGTTTGGGGGACGGGAGGGCGCGCCCTAGCGTGTGAATATAGAAGGTTGTTGAAGCCATGGAAGTGACTAAGGTGGCCTAGAAAGAGGAATTTGAGATGACATAAGGGAAGAGAGAGGAAAAGATGACATTGAGAAGGAAAGGAAAGAAGAAACCAGGAGAGAAGTATCAAGGAAGCTGGTCAGTGTCAAACATAACAGATCAGGTAAGATGTGGACTAAAATGTGTCCATTGGATTTTGCAACAAGTAAGTCGTTTAGTAATTTTGGAGAAAGCTGTTTCAGAGATACAGTGGGGGTAGAAACAACATTGAGGTAAATTGCGTGACTGGAAAGGCACAATGTGTAAAGACAATTTCTTCACGGTGTTGACGGTAGAAAGAGGCTAGCAGTAGGGTATAGCATAAGGGAGAATTACAAAGAAAGAGAAGGAGTTTTAGATATCTGTGGGACAGCCAGATGGAGATGTCCAAATGGCAGTTGAAGGTACAAATCTAACACATGGGAGAAAATTATATTAAATGGAAAAAAAGCAAGTGCAGAAGAATACTTACATATTTACACAAGCGTTAAAAAATTACCTATGAAGAGTGGGCCTGGGAGGGATGAAACTTATGCTTTTTGTTTTAGATTCATCTTTACTGTCTGAATTTGTTTTACTGTATACATAACATATATTACTTTTATAGAAAGCTGCTTTTTAAAAACTCCAATGATGTATAGGCCAGAATTTCGGGATCATGAACATTTCAGTGGTAGCTGAAGCCATAGATTTGGATAAGCTCCCCAGAGAACAGCAGAGGGCTAAGAAGAGTGCCTTGGTGAATTCTAACATTTAAGGCACAAGTAGGAGAGCCCTTGGAGAATCTTTGAAAAGGAACAACCAGTGAGGAAGAAAAACACTGGATCCTAATTGTCACAGAATCAGAAGGAAGAGAGTGTTTCAAGAGGATGGAAGTTATTAAAAGTGTCAGATGTCCCCAGAAAGGCAGCTAACAAGAAAGGTTAAAAGCTAGCTCCAGACTCAGGTTTCCTGGGAACTTGGCATAAAGGTCAAATCCAGATCTTGAACCATCACCAAATATCACGTGGAATTCAACCCCCATGTTGTTCCATCCTTATATATCATGGTTGCCAGTTCCAGTCTTTCAGTGGGTCTTGAAATCAACACCAGCCAGTTCTGGCACCACTAATATTTCCACAGTCAAGAATGCTTCCTCTCCCATTCTTTACTATGGCCCTTAAGCTGCCAGAAAGAAAAACTTGTGTTGCCAGAAATGGTAAAGTTAAGGAATTGAAAGTAGGAATAGGGACTTCCCTGGTCGTCCAGTGGTAAAGAATCCACCTTCCAACGCAGGGGACACGGGCTCGATCCCTAGTCGGGGAACTAAGATTCCCACGTGCTGTGGGGCAGCTAAGCTTGCACACCTCAACTAGAGAGAACCTCATACTGCAAACTACAGAGCCTGTGCGCCACAACTACAGAGAGAGAAAATGCGCATGCCGCAACTAGAGAGAAGCCCACGCGCACTGCAATGAAAGATCCCGTATGCCGCAACGAAGACCTGACACAGCCAAAAAATAAAAAATAATAAAATAAATTAATTAATTAAAAACAAAAAAGAAAGTAGGAGTATAAGTTGGAGTTGAGAAGGTCAAAAACTAGCTAATGATCACATAGATTTTCCTAAAACCACCCAGATAGGAAGAGTTGGCACAGAGAGGTTATTTAATAGGCACTGGAGTTCTCAGTAAGCATGAGGGATAAAGGGTACTAGAGCCAAATGGCATAGGCTTTAAAGAAGGAAGAGTTTTTACAAGAAGATGAGAGCACAATCATCTGAAAGTAGCAGTGGATTGCAAAGAGAAGGATGATACCCTGCCACCCTTTCCTACAGGAGTAGAAGAATGAACAACCTCTACTTTACACAGTTGAAGGGAAGATATATCCATTAGAAAAAGCCAAAAATGTCTACCCCCCACTTCACCACCACCCCATACTGGAACTCTGTTCTGTTGTAAACAGCCTCCCCTATATTCTCATTTTCTTCACAGATTACTCCCTAACTTTTCCTAGTGGACGAGTCATCAGGACAGAGGTAGCTAGCTGTGATATATGGAAGGGGGATGTGCCCCACCCACATAAGCCCACAAAAGAGGCAGATGCAGGCACTACTTCTTAAAATAGAATCATGTTCTCTCCCTACCCATATCCGGAAGTGGTTTGATACTTAGCAATCTTGACATCATGGTAGTAATTCCTTTCCATGAGCCCGTCTCCTAAACTTAACCCAACCCCATTTAGAGGATTAGAGAGGAGAGTCCATGCTGAGGACTCCCTTCTCTAATAGTATGGTGTCCTACCTGCTCTTTGCAGCCTCTGGGGAAAAGATAGATTACCTTCTTCACTCAGAATGGAAAGCTAAAGGAAGGACTGGGATTTTTTTTCATTAGGCCTTCAAAGTAATCCCTCTTCCTTTATAGGACTGGAAGGACCTAATCCTTTTCCCTGGGGCCAAACCTTAACTAAATTTTACAAATTCCAGACATTGGGACAGTTGCCTGGCCAGCTGTTCCTAAGTTAGTCCATTCATGACTGCATTTGTAGGAAAGTTTTCTGTTTGGGGGGCCCTGGAAATTCACTCTTAAAACGTGAAGCCTTTGGGAATTCCCTGGCAGTCCAGTGGTTAGAACTCCGTGCTTCCACTGCAGGGGGCACAGGTTTGATCCGTGGTCAGGGAACTAAGATCCCACATGCCACGCTGTGTGGCCAAAACAAAAGACAGACAAACAAAAAACATGAAGCCTTGAGATATAATAGGTGCTGAAGAGATCATAATGCCAATAAAGAGAGCTGAGCAGATTTCCTGGGGTGAAATGGGATAAATACTAACTAAACCAAGGAGACGGGCACTCTCATGCCCAGTACTGAGAAAAAATATTTCAAACACTAAGATTTTTTGTTAGTTGTAGCTAAGCAGCTGTTCCCCTTTGGCTTAAACTGTACATCATCTCTGCAGTTAAAGCAAAAACTTCATCTCTTGCCTGATGTTCTTTTTCCACCCTCTCCTTCAACTAAAAACTCGAGAAAACTCTCAGAAGATTGAGAACCCTATGTAGGATTCTCCTGTTCCTCCGCCTTTCATGTCCCTTCCTTTATATCAGTTCCTGTCTCTTCCTTGGAGCCTCAGCTGAGATAACATCCCTCCAGCTTTCAAAGACGGGCCCCTCCAACTGGACTCTGAATCCCATTCTTTTCTGCTTCTCAATACACTCTCTTCCTTCACTAGAATCATTAAACTGACATCCTTCAGCTACCTTTCACATGCTCCCATTTCCAGTATGTCCTGC